CCCCCTCGAGCAGACACACAGAGACCCTCTAAGCCAAAGAACTACCCCTTAGACTAAGTATTTATAGGGCGCACTTTCGAATCGCATCTCGTTTCTCTTAAGCGCCCTGTAGCAATTTTAGCATAGGACTTTCTTTACGAGGGACACGTTTACGACCCCTTGGTCCTTTGTTTAGGTATTTTTCCTCCTCCCTAATCTCTCCCTTCGCCTTCCACCCGCCCTCGCGTCTGTCCTATCGTCCCTCCGGCCGGAATGGACGCTTCCCGATCGATTCGTAAATCCTGTCCCTCGTGCTTGTAAATAGTTAGTTTTAGTGTGTACAGAAAGTGTCGCGTGCTCCGCTACGCGCCAGTTGCTGTTACGCGTGCGCGATGCAAACGGAGAATGGGAGAATCAATAGATGTGTACCATACCGAATAGTATTATTAACGGTGGCCCGTACAAGGGACCTGCCTAAAAATGTGTACATAACCTCTCTACCCGTAGCGAGTAGCTCTCGGTCGTATCTAGATGTAGTACGAGAGAATAAATGGATTTTCATTAAGGAAACTATATGACTCCTGTCACTTTATGGATAAAACTTAACCAAGATTATCTTCATCCGTACGTCATACCAAAATCATACACACACACGGTATACCTCGATGGGATTCTTCGATGATTTTGAGATCTAAACAAATTTATAATAAAAAAAATTTAATCATATAAGATAATTTTACGTGCGGTGCTACCCATTTATAGCGTAGCGACATGCTGTCTTGTGAATTATGAAAGAATGGACTTTTCTTGATTTCAATGTTAACACGGTAAGTTACCTCTCATTCAATTTGAGCAAGCATTCAAGATCACTCTTAGGTCCAACTACCGTGTAATTCAGTTATACCTATCCGAAATGAAATAAATTCATTTCACGGCCTGTCAGCGCGCAATTATTTTAGATGCAGCCATTTTAGAGTTTCGTTCCATGGCTAACACCTCGACCCCTTGTGCCCCAGGAGGCACGTACTCTCGTCGAAGGTGGTACGCGTTATCTTGCCCAAAGGTAAACCGAGTAATCACAGTCGTTATACAATATAGGTACAGTACGCGTCGTAGAAAGACCAGCTGGAATTTTACGTATCTTTATATTCTGTGATACGAGAGTTCTTGCAATTTTAGACATCGAATTGCACGTCTTATACCTATCAGTAGCTATACGCTACAGCCACGTATATGCGCTACAGAGATCAGCGTAGAAGCAACATCAGTGCTCGAATGCGTTCGCGAGCGACGTGTGTGCGACGTGTTGTGATGGGTGGAGCAAGGTGAGAGAAACAGAGAGGCGGCTCCCGAGCTTGTAATTATGTTGATACGAATGATCTGCGGCTTGCCACAGCCTTTGCGAAGCCTCCAGCGGTGCTCACCGACTGCTCGTGGGGTTCGGGGCCCTTTAGGACCGTGGCGAAACCAGTTTAAGTGGTTAAGTGTAGATGTAATTGATTTCCATTTTATGAGCCTCTCCGAAGATCCACCCGAGTCTATGTATGCCGGTTATACCATGTAGAATTAGTCTTATTAGGATTAGCCAGTATTTCCTTTTTTTGTTGTTTTTTTTCCAAGTAACGTTCAATTAAACGAATTCTGATTAATCAAAAGAGAATTGAGACGCACAAAGATTTGACACAACTATTCGAGAAACTTGTCAAGATTTTACATTGACTTTCAGGGTAGCATAAGACTGCTGAGGAATTTATATGACGTGTCAGTTTTATCTGTGTAATCAATGGCTTTGACGAAATGTCATTTGATCGATTGCGGCGAATCAAGTGCACAGTCCAGAAGCCAGGAATGGTTAGTTACCAAACGTCCCTAGGGGTAGATTGATTGCGGTCCCGTTGGAGCGTAGGCCTCCAAAGCGAGATAAAAGTAAACTGGCGTACAAGAGCGGAATATGTAAATTAGAAACTCCGTGTGAATGCGGAGATTTATGAGTCCCATACACATTTCTGGGCGCAATAAATATCAGTAAGTAGCAACGCGAGGGACCGTACGGATCGAGTCGCTATGGGACGGGACGAAACGGGACGGCTGCCGGGTCGCCGTGGGTGGCTGCTGCTGTTGCTGCTGGTACTGGTACTGTTGATGGTGTTGCTGCTGCTGCCGATCCCTTTCCTTCTTATCCTTTAACTCTCTTTCTCTTTCTTAGCTTATCCTTCATCTCTCTCTCTCTCTCTCTCTTTACTTTTTCAACTAGTCTCTTGGTGTTCCTTATTACACTCGTTTCGCTCCTCTTACCTAAATATTTTATGCATTTATTAATTTTCATATTACGTAATATAGATATTCGAAAAATATGTACGACTTTAATTCTGTGCACAGGTTTTGCGTACTGACTTACTTATTGTTAATGTACCATCTTGCACTGCATTACGTATTCCATGTTAGTCACTCCTGTATCCACTCTGGTACCTTCATGGAGCGACAGCTAGGGGTAAGAGGAACCGTGAAATGCGTCCAATTACAAACTGGGCGCGTCGTGTGGCCCCGAACTCATCGCCAGACTCGGATTTCATCGAATCGGCTTACACATCCGCTCGACTCGCAGATTCGTTAACTGTGCGACTGGACGGCTGTAAGTTTACACACGTTTATTCGCGATATACTTTTGTATAGAGAATTTAATTGTCATCTGGCGGGAAATTTGAAATTGGTTATATGGGAGCTGTAACGACAGTGGGACATTTATGTGGGTATACTATAGTTTATATACTATACCTTACGGGAGTTTACAGGAGGACTGTGCAATCGGTGAATGGAAATTTGTTTAGTGGGTTGTCAATGGAGATAATGGCATGGAATTTGAAAATTTTCGGGTTTATGATTTACGAGCTGCTAGGATCTCTCGTATTGTTCGTAACTTTGAGGATAGTAGCGTGTTTCCGTTTTAGATGAACTACCGTATATAATGGCCGCTAATAGATTTATGATTTAGGGCGCTCGGTATGTATTCTTCCTGAATGGTTCTAGTTTTCGTGAAACGACACGGGATCTATTTACGTTTCCATGGTAGGCTGGAAAAAAAAATGTGTCAGCGACGCTGATTTAACGATTCACAGTAGAAATTTACGTTAATGGATTAATGATTTACGAGAACGATCCCAGTGCGAGATCGACTTCTAAGAAATTAAAAACGAGGCTTCGTACCTTACGTAGGTCCATTGTCCAAGATGGCCGGTTTCGTATGTTACACGGTGACGCAATGGCCGGCCAGAAATAATGCGATTAACCTGATAGGCAGATTTATGGCTGCTTATGGGATTTAAACTCAACAGGTTGGACCTACCTCGGAGGAAAAAAAAAGTACGTCACTTTTCGAAAACCAGCAGTACGAAGTACTATGCCTTTTTTCCTTTGGATCTAGTGTTATTTAGTGTGAAGGATCGTTGCCACCTTCGTCGTCGTCATACCCATCGACGACGTCCACGCTAGCTCCTTCAACTTCCCCGTACATCGGGGGCCTGTTTTTACTTTTTTCTTCTTCTCCTGGATGCCCAGTGTATATGGAAGATGCCCGTGCTCGGCACGGGGGCTTTATTATTTACAGCGTCCGTAAGGCGTGTCACAAAACGTTGCGGGTTTCCTCTTGAAAGTCTCACAATGTACGGCCGATTTATGGCTGAAACTTTCAACAAAAGTGTCAATTCCACCCTCGGCGAGGTGCTGCGCACAAATATTTTCACCGTAAATTCTCAGTTTTATCTGGCCCCCTTGGTTTACGGCCTGTGACCTAATCCACTAGCCAACAGCCTACCTGCCCTTTCGGAACCATCACATTACACTGATACGCGGGTTGTTTCGCCAGTTTTCCGTATCGTTTGGAGGTTAACGTTTTTAATTCCCGCACATTTGAACTTTTATATACTGTGCACCAGTTTAACGTATTTTATGGTCGTTTAAACATGAAATTTCAATTTCTTCACAGCCACCGTTTACCGAGCAGTGAATTCGCCACGGGAAGAGAGACACAGAAAGAGAGCTGAAAGATACTGCCTTCGGAACAATAGCGTGACTCGGTATATTGGTTTAAGGCGTAGCCGCCAGATGTCGCGCCAGTACGGGCCAAGACGTAGAACATTCATTTCCCTATAGAGGAGACCGAGGAGACTAATCTTCTGAACTAAACTCCGCTATAAATTCCATAAAAATGACTCGAACGTAAAACAGTTAACAACTGGACAAATAGCATTCTCTTGGAAGAAGGTATAAATTCACGTGTAATAATGGTAATCATTTCGATCTCGTATCTTTCCGCGCCAACATCTCTATCACGGCCGGCGTCAAGGGCGGAAGGCAACTGAGAATTTCTAACAACGAGAGTCGTAGAATGATCCGTTATATGAAAATCTCTTTTTCTAAGGAGAAACACCATTAGTCTCGGCACTCAAAACACCATCGGTACTTATGTGGTAGTGATCTATCGAGTAAACCAAATCGTTTAAACGGCATTACGTCATTCGGACAAAATGAACCGAATTCGTTTTGGCTTTTTCAATTTTCCTTTTTCGCGCCACCTCCCCCCTTCCCGCCCCACCCCTCCCCGCTCAACGCCTATCCTTAAGTCGCCCTTGAGTGTATAGGGCTGTTTTCAAAATATCCCATGAAGTGGACCATTCCCAGTTGGGTACGGGGTAGCAGGGAACCCTAAAGCCTCCCCACTCTCTCCGACACCATTGTCATTTATTCTTATTGTCATATACAGCAGATCGCCTGCTGTGACGATGTTGACTCTCCGCTGTGGTCAGCGACAAAAACCAATGAAAAGTAAAGTTAACCTTCGAAGGGCCGACGATTCGCTACGCGCCCCTCTACGATTTCTCTTGCGAGGCCAAACATCTACCTACGGTATAAAGAACGTCGTGTCTATTCAGTAACGAACCGTTAACTCGACGTAAATACCCGACAAACCCAGCGCCTGTCCTCCGTGTCCTGTACCATCTCTCTATTTGAGAGTTTACATCCTGAAAATCGCCCTTTCACGGACAACTTCACGGGGTGCGCCCGGTCGGATAATTTGAATAGAGGCGTGCTAACTCAGCGCTGCGACGCTACCGCCATCTAGGCTCATTTTATTTCACGACGATCGCCCTTATTGCACCTGGTGACTAAAATCTGTACTACCACTTTCACGATTCTTATAGGTACCAAGGAGAGACACAACGACGACTTAACGCTTTTGGCTCGGGTTCAAGATTCTTCGTTCACTCGGTTTGAAACGCGAAGTTAACTTATTATCGCGTCAATGTCATCGGTTGTACAAGAATCGTTTGTCACTCCTGGAGTGTCCCGGTGTTGGTTTACGAGAAGGAAAATGAGAAGAAAAAAAAAATGGCATCCTCCAAGACTTCCCATGTCAGAGAAACCACCCTGTGTCGAACATCTTCCTAATTATACACAAACGAAATACGATATATCCCTAAAGAAACCAACATCGGAGAATACGCACTCTCGCGCTCCAGTCAAAGAAAATAGTTCCAAAGTTAAAAACCGAAAAAAACAAGAAAATCACAAACAGCTTCGAACCACTGTCTAAACTTATATTTCGAGGTTACGTATCTTCGTACAAAGAATAAAATATATTTTTCACGAGATGACCTCCCGTTAGATTGCCTCGGCGTCGTTTGGTAGCCCGCCCCTCCCCCCTGCCGATTTACCAAAAGTACAAAGAAGAGGGTGGTAGCTGGCTGCTGGAGGGGTTTTTAAGGGTGGCGCGAACCCGGGCAAGAAGTGTAGTAATGTCTGCCGGCGGGCAGGCGGCAGACTATTACCACTGCATGAATATGAATGAGACTGGAAGAGACCAGCCGAGCACAGCCCAGGCCAGCCAGAGCGAGCGGCCCCTCGAACGAGGCGGGAGAGAAGAGCGGCATTCAATTAGTCTCCTAGTAATTAGCCGGGAAATCTTCGGCTTTGTCGGCGAGATCCTCTTCCTGAGCGATACCCCGACGAACGAACCGCAAGAACTGCCCGTTCGGAGTTGCAGTCGCGCGAGTCAAGGTGAATATTCGGCCTCTCCCTCTTACGTATGCTCTGCGCGCCCGGTATACGTACCGGCTGCTGTATATCAGGCCCCCGGTAAAGTATTCCGTAGAAGTTGGTATTAAATACGTGCGCGTTTACGCACGAACGGCGCAAGGAGCGGGTAGCTTGAATTTTTATGCGAGTTCATAAGACCAAGGCGATGCGCGGCTACGGACGACCAGGATGCACTCTGCGAAATTACTTTCCGTATGAATAACTGCGATGACGTTCAATTGGCAAGAAGTCCATTCTCTGCGATTACGATGACACTGATAGTTATGGGTATACCACGGGTACGATGGGTTACCCGTGTATACCTGTTGCCATGACGGCCATGATGCAATTTACGGAATTACATATTACCCTTCGGAAACGTTTTTGATACGTGGTAAAAAACAATAGCAAATGGAATTTCTCGTATGGCAAAAAACGTGAATTGTTACACGAGTGACATTTTTTTTATTGGACAATTACCAAGGGGATGAGTGGGTCTGCTGTAGATTGAATGGAGTGGGGGGGGGGGGGGAAATGGGGGGGGG